GGGCAGTTGACAAGTACACAAGCCAGCCTGGGACAGCATGTGTGAGCCAAAGATTCAGCCACTAGCCCAGCTCCTCGCCTCCTCCAGCCTGGCAGCTGGCTTAGCTAAAGGTCAGCTCTCTTGCTGGGACCAGCATACTCCCCACTGATCAGCGCCACAGGCCTGGCCTTGTCGGGTTCCTGTCCTGTCCTTAGTACTTACTGCTCAGCTTCTGGCTATGTCTGCTTCTTGAACATTCAGAGATAAATGGGAAATGGTCCCAGGCTTCAAGGAATTCACAAATGAAGGGTCAGAGAAACAATGGAGGTGTATGTGGCAGTGGAGTTTACTCTGGCTCACATTCCCAAACAGTTTATTATGTATTTGGTGATACCTGTTGTGTCCTTTATCATCTGAAATAAAAATTGGGCCCAATTTCTTTAACCTTCCTTGTGCTTTTATTCCACAAATATTTATTGAGTGTCTACTGCTGCCCTCCTCTTTGATTTATATAGCACAGAAGAGAGCATGTTTCTGATGATGTTTGAGCAGCATGGAATAAAGTGGAACCCTCTCCTCCTTTGATCTGGATTCTATACTTTTAGTAATGTAACCCAAAGTACATTTGCCTTTTGGGGGAAGCCTTATCTTACTGCAGCTGAACTAAATTTCTGTTTTCACTAAATATTAGAGCTTTCCCTACATGAATGATTATTTATTCTGTTTTTAAAAAAATGACTTTTGAACCTTAGTTCAGGACTTTACCGCGAGAGAAATGTTCCCTTCTAATTTTAGCTTGTGTATAAAGTCGGTTTTGCATTTCAGTTCACTTCAGCATCTTAGCTCTTCTTTCTGCTTTTTTCCCTTTGTGTACTTGGTAAGCCTCCATGCTTCACCTAAGTTACTGATAAGTATGTTGGACAAGCCAGGGCAGAGGACCGAGCCCTTTGGCAAGTCAGGAAGTTGACATTGATCTATTAATCAACACCCCTAGGAATCCACTTGGCTTTCTATCTCGTCTTCAAGCATTTCATCACACATTCTGCCAACACCTTCCTGAAATCCAGATAATCTAGGTCTAGGGGATTCCCCGACCGGCCAGTCCAGGAATCTTATAATATTGGGGCTAGGGTTGTGGATATAGCTCAGTGAGGGAGGGCTGTGGGCTCTCTGGAAAGATCCAGGCTGAAGCCAATGATCTTCTCTGGGGTTGGCCGGAGAGGAATCCTGCTTGGAAACTGAGGCAGGCTCAGAGGAGGGAGGGGCTGCCGGCAGGTGACTTAGAGACGAGCTGTTGGCAGGCCTTTTCCCCATGCTTTCCTGTCCTCTCATCCTCTGCCCTCAGACTATGGTGCAAATCTGAGAGTAGGAAGCTGGAATGTAGAAGGCCTGGCACTTAGCCCTCCCTGGGGGAGTGTGTGACAAAAGGCCCGAGGCTGTGCCCATTTCTGCACTTTGAGAAATAATGGAAATGAATGCAAATGAGATGCAAATAGGGGACACTGGTGGTGAGAAGAGGGTGCCCCTGCTCCAGCTTCAGTCCAGCTTCGACCAAAGACGAACAGAAAGGGAAATGACCAGTGACCTGGGCTGTGGAGCCCAGCCTCAGGAGAGAAGGGAGGGAGAGGGGCTCTGTGGGTCAGCAGGGTGGCGTGTGGCTTCTGGAGTCTGCTATGGGGGAGCCATGGCATGGAGGGTCCCAGGGTGTGACCCTGAGATGAAGGCATCTTGGGGGACAGCCCAAAGTCATTTCTGCTATGGAGGTATTTGTGGGAGGGTGGTGGTCAGAAGGGGGAGGGTGCAACGCAAATGCACAGACATTGACCAAATGCCTAGGGTGACCTCCCAGGGTCTGGCTCCCAGTGATCTGTGTGTTGGGTTCAGCAGGATTCTGAGGCCCAGGGCCTCTCCCCATGGGACCTGGGCATGTGACCCTGCCTTCTCTGTGGTAGAGAGGGGGGAAGAGAGTGGGGGCCAAGGGTGCTAGAGTGGGGAGCCCCTGCAACTCCCCTGGAGACCACCCCTCCCCCATCCTAAGAAGATGGGTGTTTTTGGTCAACTCTTAGCCCAGTTCAGAGGAGCTTCCTCTTGGTTGTGTAAAAACCTGAGAATCTGTCCCCTTGAGTGTGTAGGTCACATGACACGATGCCCTCCAGAGGGAGCCTTGGGACCCTGAATTCCCAGTTGTGTCTTGTGGCCACACAGCCTTGAGTTGGAAGACATGGACCCAAATTCTGCCCTTTTCCTCAGCTGCTCTGTAATTTGGGGTACATCACTTAACTGCTTGGAGCCCATCTCTAAGACTGGGATACGAATCAGAGCCGCCTCCTGCCGAAGAGCACATGGGAAAGGTTTGGTTCAGGGTAGGCCCTTAAACACTCATGACAATAAAATGGAGGAAGGAATGAGAGCAGCTCCCGTCGACCCCCACCCCCTACCATGGTGGCGCCGGGAGGCCAGGGAAATCTGGATTCAACACTCTTGAGCCATCTTTCTCTTGACTTTATCTTTGTCCTTTCTTCTCTGTCTCTCTGTGTCTCTCTGTCTTCCTTTCTGTCGTGTCCCCTCCTTCCCCAGACGAAGTGCCTAACTCAGCACCTGGCCCCAACACACACAATTCATTTTGCCTGCTTTTCTCAATGGCCTCTCTGTGGCTCCACAGCCCCTGCCACCCCCAGTTCTGTCTCTCTCCTCCTCCTGGGTCCCTGTTTCTGACCCCTCTTTGTCCCACTCTCTGTCTTCCTGGTGTCCCTGCCCTCTGTTTCTCCAGCTTCTATCTCCCGTTAACAGGCATCCATTGACCGCTCGCTAGATGCCAGGCACTGCCCTGCTCCTGTCTGGGTTCTGTGTCTCCCCTTGCTGCTGTCTTCTCTCCCTCTGCCCCCATAGGCCTCCTGCCCTCCCATCCCCCAGCTCCACTGGGCTCCAACACTGGTGTTATTCAGTTTTATGAGAAACCCCCAGGCCTACCCCTGAACGGACCAACCACAACTGGAACCAGATGTGCAGTGCTGCACATGGGGATGGGAGGGAGGGAGGAGGGAAAAGGGTCTGGGCTGACTCCGAGGCTGGGGGATGGGAGATGGGAAACCTTGGGAATTCTGAGTCTTCATTGGCTAGGAGGAGGAGGAGTGGGGAGTGGAGAGAGAAGGGGCTGAGCAGACTTCTGCACAAAGCAGTTCTCACTCTGTGTTTGTGTAAATGATGGCAGGACAGGCACTGGGGAAAGCCAGGGGTGGATGATCAGTTGTGGGACAGCTCTTGGAAATAAAGGGGAAGGCTGCTTCTCTTCTTTGAAATCTTCTAGCTCCTTGACTTCTTGTCTGTGTGGTTTCTGGAGACTTGCTGAATCCATAGTTCTGTGCCCAGGTGCTGGGAAAGAGGGCCCAATGTTGGGATGGGGGGTGGTGGTGGAGAATTTCACCACCAAAGCGGCCTTGAGAGCAGCTGGAGAAGGGTGTCTCTCAGAGTACCATGGATCTGCTGCAGACCTGGGGTGGGTGGGATGCATCTGGGGCATCGTGATCTGTCTAATGATCCCCATGTCTTAGCATGGTCAGCTTTTCTGTCTGTGATTATTTAGCTTTGAAGATAAGTCTGCCAACAATGATCTTGGTGCAGCCTTGTGTAGAATTAAGCATTAAAAGTGTTCCTTTATTCAATTTTTAACCAGTCACCCATCCATCCATCTCTTCATCATTCACACAGTCATTCCGCCTTTGTAGAGAGTCTGTTAGGAGTCAACCTTGTGCTAGGCACTGGAAAAACTAGGAAAGGGGAAGGAAAGATAAATACATCTTTGCTCTGCATGGCTGGGTGTGGCTCAGCAGTTGAGCATTGACCTAGGATCCAGAAGATCACAGTTCGATTCCCAGTCAGGGCACATGCAGGAGGCAGCCAATCAATGATGACTCTCTCATCATTGATGTTTCTATCTCTCTCTCCCTCTTCCTTCCTCTCTCTGAAATCAATAAAGATATATTAAAAAAAAATACATCTTTGCTCAACTAATGGGAGATACAGAGTGCGCCTAACAAGGGTATGTCTTGGCGTCAGTATATGAGCAAGAGCCTTGGGTATGTAGAGGGGATGGTGCCTACCAAGTGGTGCAGTTGATGAAGGATCCATGAAGTGTGTGGCTTTTGAACTGAGCCCTGAATGCTGATGTGAGGAAGAGGGAACCCTGTGATGAGTAGGCTCCAGAGGCAGTGCCATCACAGAAGGCTCCAAGTGTCCCTCTGTAGAGCTGGGACTGGATAGGCTGGGGGGACAGAGACTATTTGATATCAATCAGGTATGGGTTGGAAAGGGAGGATGACACTTCTGCTATGCTGTGACCCAAAGGGGAAAACTTTCATTTTCATAACAGACTCTGCACCCACCTCTAGAGGAGCCTAGATGCTGACATGGAGTCCTCACCTCCTTCCCCTGACTAGGGCTGATTCAAGCCCAAGAGCAGCCCTTGGTCTGTAGGGGGCATGGGGTTAGACAAGATAAGGCTATTAGGAATCACCTTTGGCTCAGAGTTGGGGCCAGAAAGGACTGGGCAGGGGTTGGGGAGCCTGGGCCAGGTTTCCTATTTAGCCCAACAGTCTCTGAGGCACATTCTGTATCTACCCGTTCACAGATTGAGGCTGCTGTCAAGGCTGGTAGGTTCTGAGATGCTGGAATTTGGGACTCTGGGAACCCAGACTCTTCCCACCTGGGTGAGGATGAAGTCATCTTGCTCTGGAGGGGGAGGTGGGTATAATGACACCTCTATCTCCACCTTCCCCACATAAGGTCCTGAGAAGGTGCCCCTCTCCCACTCATCCTCAAGGGCTTCACTGTCACTGAGGGGTTGGGGAGCAGCTCTCTAAAATGCTGGCCATCTCCCCTGTGCTGGTCCCAGATGCCCCCAAATGTTTGTCCCTTCTGGGCCTTCCCTGTCATTTTTCTTTGGAAAATTGAAGCCTGAGGAACAGTTTGGTTGAATTAATAAAATTGGTGAGTGTTAGAAGTGGAAAAGATCTTGAATACCTTTGCATCCAATCTCATTGTACAGCAGGGGAAACTGAGGCCCATAGATCAGGTCACTGGCCCAGGACCTCACATGAAGATGGGAAAAGAAGGGCCTTTCAATCTCCAAAGGCTGAGTGGTGAGGAGCTTGGCTTGGGAGTCAGCCTGTCAAGTCTGAGCTCCTGCTCTATACCATCCTGTGCTGTCTTAGACAAGTCACCTAACTGTTCCAGGGTCACCTTCTTCAGATAAAATAACAGGGTGTGCCTGACCAGTGTGGTTTAGTGGTTGAGTGTTGACCCATGTACCAGGAAGTCACTGGTTTGATTCCAGGTTCGATTCTGGAGGTCAGGGCACATTCCCAGGTTGCTGGCTCAATCGATCCCTGGTAGGGGGCGTGTAGGAGGCAGTCAATCGATGTTGATGTTTCTCTCTCATTGATATTTCTATCTCTCCCCTCCTCTCCCTTCCTCTCTCTCTAAAATGAATAAAAACATATTAAAATAAATAAAATAACATGGTGATTCTAAGATTCAGTGAGAGGAAAATTGTTTAAGAGCCTGGCACGTAGTAGGTGTGCAGCAAATGACTTTTCCTTTCCCCTCGAAGTAATCCTATCTGCTTCACTGTCATCATTGAGATGGCACTCCAAATTTTGCAATCCCATTTCCCCCATCTTTTAAATTATAAAGCCATTTGTACATACAAAAAAAGTTGAAAGGATTTATGGTAAATGCTCTGGATTCTATAATGAACACTTTGGCATATTTGCCTTCTCTCATTTCTGTCTCTCCATCCATCTTATTTTTTGATGTGTTCAAAGGGAGTTGAAGCATGCATTTTATTAACTAGAGTTCAATTCAAATCACTTCTGCATGTGAAGTCACAAATGTCCAGAAGGAATAAACAGATTCAGAAGTGAGATTGTAGCCTGGCTGGAGGGGCTCAGTTGGTTAGAGCATCGTCCTGTGCACCAAAGGGTTGCCAGTTCAGTTCCCTGTCAGGGCACACACCTAGGTTGTAGGGGCCCTTACAGAAGGCAACCAATTGAATTTTTTCTCTCTCCCCTCTTCTCTCTAAGCGTGTTGTTGGGTGAAAATTGGAAAAAAAAAAAAGTGAGATTCTAGTGATTCACCAGTCACAAAATGAGTGCTCTACAAAAGTTGAGAGTTGCTGTTTATCATCATCATCATCATCATCATCATCTCACCAAACATCCTTTCCACCCAGCAGCCCTTTGGCCATTTCAGTGCAGCTGTATCTCTTCCATGGGGTCCTGCCCCCTTTCCCCACCTCTGCCCCCTCACAAGCCCTTTGGCTCCTCCCTGCTGGTCCCTAGGGAGGCTGCAGGGCCTGTGGCTGATTGGACAGGGAAGCCACTCTTCTTGGCATGCCCTGCCCTGGGCGCCTGTGCCCTGCTACCGCCAGCCTGGCCTGAGCTGGGTGTGAGTGCTGCAGGGGTTAAAGAGGCGGCCGAGGGGCGGGCTGCTGGCCGGCTCCGGGAAGGAGGCGGTGCGTGCTCGCCCGCCAGCCACCACCGGGAGGAGGGAGCTGGGCCAGCAGCGCCCTCGCTCAGTTGCTCCCAGCAGTGGCCCTGGGGCCAGCTCTGCTCCCTGTGCCTGCTCCCCACCTGGACACAAGGCTCACTCACGCCCTCCTCTTGGCAAACAGCTTCTTGCCAGCCACAGCTGCTGCCCCATCACTGCCCACCGCCCTGCCCCGTGAGCCTAGACACTCACCCCACCCAGGGGCTCCTCTGCCAGAAAGGTGAGTTGGGATGTGTGTATGCTGCTGGGCTGTCCTTACAGATGCTGTCAGGGTGGCTGATCAGGGCATAAATTAGGGGAGGAGGAGGTCAGGCCCCCTGATCACATGTCCTGTATGCTAGCCCCTCAGGGCAACCTGTCAGTACCCCCTTCAGATGTGTCTGAGATTTTTGCAGGGGTGTCTAGGGTGCGGTTGTCCATGCTCTGAGAAAGAGAGAGACTAGTTAGAAGTTTTGTTTGCTGGGGAAGTTGCTGGTGTTCACGGCTGCTGGAGACCCGTGACAGCAGAGGTGAGTGGGAGGGACACATCTGGGGGGGGCAGTTGGGAGTATTTTATCTCCAGCACTCTCTTCCCCACTTGCCTGCCCATCACAGGGCTGCCTGGGGGAGAGGACCATGAGAAGAGTAGGCATGTTTTCCTCTTTATTTCTCTCCCTGCCACCCACTGGAGCTGTTATTGGCCCCCCCTCTCCTCCTTGGGGTTCTCTGTGCTCCCATCTCTCATCTCCCAAGGGCTGGCCACAGCTGCAAGGGAGGGTCTGGCAGGGGTGGGAAGGTTGGAGTTAAAAGCACTCCTCTCAGCTTGGGTCCATGCTCCCTTGCCCATGGGCAAGGCCTGGCATGAATGCCCCCTGCTGCCCTCCCCCAATCAGCATCTTATTCCTTCCTCACCCCTCTGGGCAGAAATGGCTAATCCAGGTGGTTAATGAACAGACACACACAGCTGCCTTTCACTCCCTCTCCTTCCTTCCCCCACCCGACCCTCTGATGCCCTGCCTGCCACCCCTTCCCCAGCTGGAGAATCTATACAGAGCGAATCTCAGTGTCTGTCCCTCACCCCCCAGTTCAGGACCAGGGCCAGGACTGCCTGCCCAGATGTTTTTAGGCCATCCACTGTCCTAGAAGAGGAAACTGGGAAGAGAGTGATGGAGGGGTGACCAGGAGAAGCCTGCTATGCTCCCAAGCTGGGCTCCCTGCAGGGGGTGGAATGGGGTTAGAGTACAGGATGGGTGCTGGGTAGGGGAGGGCAGGATAGGCGGTTGTGGGCGAGGCTAGGAGGGGGAACTGGAGCTAGGATTTAGAGTCTTTGGGGACAGGGACGTCTTCTGGAAGCCCCAGCGCCTGTTCCTTGTGGCAAATCCAAGCCAGGGGGGTCAAGAGGGTGTGGAGGGAGCACTCTCTTTCATTGAGTCTCTGCCTGGCCTCTTCCTGAAGCTGCCTGGGTGGGGTGGGGACCATTGTGGCTCTGACTTGGCCTTAAGTTGCTACTACCCCTGCCAGCTGGCAGCTGCTTCTGTCTCCCCCACCCTCACTGTCCCCTAGGACCTCACAGCTTGCTACAGCTGAACCACCCTTTGCCGGACCCCTCTGGCCCAGGGGTGTGGCAGGGAGGACCTGGACCTGGCTCTGGCTGGGGAGCTGGGTGGAAGGGCTCCGAATGGGACCAGTACTGGGATCTCACTTGGGGATGAGTTGGCCTTTACTCTGCTGCCCGTGGAGGGCTGGGGCCTGGGAGGGTCTCAGTGAGTCTAAGAGGGCTGCCAGTGCTGACAGCCAGCACTTTGATCTGGAAAAGAAAATTCTTGGGTGGTGGAGGAGGCAACTTAGGAGCCTCTTCTTCCAAATCCCTGGCCTTGAACCCTCTGGCTGTCCTTCCCCATCCCTCATCCCATACTTCTTCATACTTCACTTTCCTCAAAGCCCTGATTCAGAATCTTCCATGGGGATTGTGGGGCCCAGTGAGATAAACACGGGATGCTGGTGGCCAGATGGAGGGGAGTTGGGCTGTGGTACAGCTGAGTTCAGAGGTTACCGTTTGGTGACCATCTTCTCGTCACTGATGCACTGTGACCAAAACCTTGGAGTTTGAGAACCCTCAGTTCCCCGTTTCTTCCAAGGTAGGAACAGGAAGCAGAGGGGCCGAATGGATTTGTGTTTGGTGAAGGAAGCTCAGCTTGAGTTTAACGAAGGGCTTTCTAACAAGTGTGGCAGGTCAGTGAGAGAACGGGCTGCCTTGTAAGGTAGTGAGCTTCCCGTCTTGGGGGGAGGTCAGACAGAGACTGGACAACAGCTCAGAAGGATTCCTGAGTTGGGATGTGGTTAGAAAAGATGACCTTGAAGGTCTCTTGGGATGCCGAGGTCCTGGGATTCTCGGAGTTGGGAAATTCTCTGACACCCGGAAAAGGCAGCAGAAGGGTGGTAGCCTCTGGCCTGGGGCTGGGCAGAGATGAGGACTTTACAGGGCAGGGGCCTCCTCCCCTCCAGGGTTTGGGGAACAGAGAGCCTGCTCTCTTCACACCCATTGCTCAACCACCCACCGGGTCTGCTCCAGCTGCTTCCTGCAGAGATTCTGAGTTTCTTCCCAGTCCGCTGGTCCCACTGCATGCCCTGCCTGCTGGGTAACTCCACAGCACCTGGAGCAGACCTGTGGGCTGCGTGACACTGGGGAGGAGGGGTCAGAAGCAATACAGACCTCTACCTCTGCCCCCTGAAGTTGGAGCCCTTGTAGCCTGCTGAGGGACTAACTGGGGGCCAGTGTGGCAGGAGGGGGGAAGGAAGGGTTGCTTTGAGGTTGGGCAGCTTGAGCCCCTGTCCAGTTTGCCTACGCCCCAAAAGGGGCCTCCCCAGCCTGCCTGGAAATGGTAGGCAGAGGAGCAGAGCCAAGATCCGCAATGCAGAAAAACCCAGGGGCAATTCTCTTCTAAGCCTCAGTTTCCAAATGTGTAAATAATACAAGGTTGTCAGGGCAGCTTGAAGTGGTTTGTGTAACTAGCAGCAGGGGATACCAGCCAAGGGTGCATTCTCTAGGGCCTCTCAGGAGGAGTGTTGGAGACGCAGGTCACCCCCCCC